TGCAGTGTTCTGCATGATCACGTGTATGCTCATTTCATCTCATTGGCGATGACCTGAACCCTTGTATACATGTTTTCCTATAAGGAAGAGAGCCTTTGAACTCTCAATTATGAAGTTGGTCATCTGAAATAATTGATGACCTTTTAGAAGTGTCGTACATCTTAGCAACGAACCAATCAGCCTACACTCTCAATTGTTTGTCTCTTGGATGACCCTGACTGCAAAGGTCAAAGAACAGTTTCTCAAAATCCGTACGTAATTTGTCCCATTTCTTTCCTCTTCAGTATATACCAAAACTACACAAAATGCTCTTTTACTGTTTTGGGTTAAATTGAAAACTGATATCTCTTGAAATTGAGTGTTCCATTATTTTTGGCATTTCCATGTCTAGTATTTCAAAAACCTTTCGTTCTGTAGTACAAGCATTAAATAATCTATAGTTCCAGTCTTACTTGGTCCTGACCATTTGAGTAGGAAACACAATATTTTAGTCTCAGAAAGATACTTTGTAGACAAAGTGACAGCCTTAATAGATGGTACATGTACTTATATTAAAACAAAGTGCTGTCAATAAGCTTAAAGGAATGTCTTACGGTGGCCAGAAGTAGTGTAATTATGTTAAATTCTTGAGCATAGCTCTACCAATCCTCGATTCTCCATGGGTTACGCTTACTTACGCTCTCTACACCCCTGGATATGTCATAGCAAAATTGAAGGCTCAGTGTGCACCACATTGTTGATGAGAGAAGAAGACTACTTTAATCCTTTGATGTACATCAAAAGAATCTCGCGCTCACGTAACGGTAAAATTTGACAGGCTTTGAAGTCGGGCGTTTGTCCTTTGTAATCTTCAAAGGACAGGTATCAGCTTAGCGACTGGTCAGTAGTTTTTTTCCTGAGACAAATCAAACAGCTATCTTCGTGCCTTCAATTTTGCTATGACATATTCCAGGGGTGCAGAGAGCGAAAGTGAGCGTAACCCCTGGATATCGAGGATGACCGACATATGACCCATGGCAATATGCTTAGTTGACCTGAAGGCAATTGTGAGACACATGCACTGCTGCTGGCTTGTAGACATATAGAGCACCCTCTACCAATAGGAACTAAGGAGATATTGCAACTGTCATATAATCATGCATTTGTAGGTCCATTCTTGATTTATACAAAACCACTTTTGCCAGAAGCTGAGCCAAAAGCTTTTCGATACAGTAATTTTGATTGGTCAAACTCATCAGAGGGAAAATACATTCCAGACTATTGCAGACAGACATTAAATAAGAATAAATATCACATCAGTTTAAAAATAAATAAAGTATTTAACCTGCATCACAACTGAAGATATTGTGTTCCTTTTCCAAAAATGTTATATAACTATGGAAATACATGTATTACAATATCAGGAAAGCATGTGACTTGAGTACTTTCAGTACTTTGATTGACATGAACGGCCTTTCATATTCTTGTCTCTTTGTTTATGTATTTGGAACACCCTGCAGCACAACATAGAAACATCCATGTTTCTTTTTCTGCCTGTTTTTGATATATTACACTGCATGATGGCTGCTGTCAGGAACATGAACTGAAAGCATGCAGTGAAGATACGCTCACTGCTCCTCTTCCCGGGACCTACACCATTAGTAAGGTCATCATCAACCATAGGTGGACCTCACCTGAATATATATCGGAGTATGTCCCAATGCCAATATATCTTGTCCAGCACACTTTGTTTATTCCTTGTACCCTCCACCCGATTTATTCATAACCATGACTACCTGTGTTGCTATTTCTGTTTTCCATAATGTGCTAACATTCTATACAGCTTTGGTTTCATTTGTTTGTGTTTTACATCCTATTAATAGCTGTGGTCATTTAAGGATGTGTTTGTGTTTTACATCCTAGTAATAGCTGTGGTCATGTAAGGACGTGCCAGGTTTTGGTGGTGGAGGAAAGACAGAGTTTCTGGAGAAAAACCATCGACAGAAGGCCAGTACCTGGCAACTTCACCATGTAGGCTGTGAACCCTTGACCCAGTGGTGGAGGGCTAGTGGTAGCAGAATGTCAGACGCCTTAACCACTTGGCCACTATGGTCCCACTATATATAGCAACCCATAGGAACAATTCCCCCCTCTTTCCCACCTCTCGGGTTTAGTGGATTCTCTGCATGTACTTTTTCTGTTGTTTTTGTTGATCAGATAGCTTTGGAGTTTCTGTATAAGAGAGTTTTCTATTACATGGTGAGGGTGTAGCAAAAAAACTTCAAATCGAAGCTACCAAAGACTCCTTCTTTTCAGTTTTGTAACTTGATAACAATAGCCAGGCAAGTACCAACCTCTCTGTCAAACATGATTATTTTTAATTCACAATGATTTTCTTTCCTCTGTAGCAACACATGAGCCTTAACTGCTTGCGAAGCATACATGTCGTATTTAATATTTGTATCATGTCAGTTTTGGGATTGCTCTTGTCGACCACATGGTAATATTGAATCAATTTTGCTGTTGTAATCATGATCTGACTTCCAACTAGAATATTTCAGTCCTGGATTTGATAGGAGACATCATGACGGCAGCCACATGTGGTGTAATAAAATGATAACCCTCTGGTGTACCTGGCTTCGATTCAAGTATCTATGATTTATCTGTCATTTTCCCCTACCATTATCAGTCCCCATCTATATCTCTGATCCAAATACAAAATCCATAGCTACCAAAACCCAGGTGCTGCCATTGGTCAAGCCTTTCCTGTATAATGATTACCTCCCTTTGATTTATTTCAAATCTTCATAAACATACGGTGCTAAAACTGTTGGAAAAATAATTGATAAAAAAAAAAAGTACGGTGCTAAGTTCCTTAACACCACAACAACAGCTTTGTTGCTTATTTCCTGTTTACATATTCCAACTGCAGTGATGACAAATTGATTTGCTACAGAACTAGCAAAACTTGAAAACCGCGCATGACATCACATTTACATCCTTCTTCCGACAGTTCTGATGATGGCTGCATAGCAGTCAAACCATGTTGATGGGAAATAAACAACAAAGACGTTCTGTGGTATTGAGAATCCTGTCATTTCCTTGTATATTTTATAAGTAAAGATCTCTCGTCAATCCCCTTGATGATCCTCCCAAGAGCACTACCTAATTTTATACATTACGAGTGTTGAATCTCTCTTTCTTTGGAGGTAAAACCTAGGGTCTGTCGGAGGACCTGAAACATACATATGCTATTTTGCCTAAGCTCTAACAACATAAACAGTGATTCTCTGGCATTTATATACTGGGTAAATGGATGGAATTTATACAGTTGACTGTGATGGACTAATTAAAGAGATTTCAGTCAATCTTGTGTTCAAATGAAGTGCAAACTTTTTTGAAAGCTAACTTTATACACTACAGATAAATTTTGAAAATGAGAAATGAAGATAATGACGGTGATTTTTTACATGAAAACAATATAGATATCCATGCCAAATATATCACTACATGTGCTCTAGGCCTATGGAATCTTAACAGGTAGTTATAATGACACATTTTACACTTGTGAATTAGATCTTCTCTTTTAAATAAGCTATAGGACAAATTTTGTTACTCTAGGCTCTCTGGATCTTTAAAAGAATCAAGTCACCTGAGGTTTTTAAATCAAAAGACCATGGTGACCATAAGAGTAAGTCAAGGTAGGTCACTGATCAGAGTTGGTAGCCCTTTAGTACTAGTATTAATACCCAGCCTCCTCTGCTCCGGCCTATATACAAAAAAATATCATTGTCAGAAGCTACAGGACAAATATCTTGAATGTTAGTCTGCTGTTCTTGAGAAGATGAAAATGTGATATGTCAACTACTGGAGCAGAATGGCATACACAAATATATGTTAATACAATTATCAGAGTTGGAATACGAATATAATTTCGCGAGTTTCGCAAGGCTGTTATTGCATCGCTGATAACCAACCTCAATCAATAATTACGTAATTTCAGTAGTCAAATTGTGTGTTTGAACATTGGTTTAGTTTGGTTGTGTTTTACGTCCTATTAACAGCTATGCTCATTTGAGTATGTGCTACGTTTTGTTGGTGGATGAAAGCCGGAGTTCCCGGAGAAAAACCAAGTACCTTGCGACTGCCCCACGTAGGTCTTGAACCCGCAACCTAGTGATGGAGGGCAAGTGGTAGCAGAGTGTCAAGATGCCTTAACCACTTGGTCACTGCAGCCCCTCACAACAATCGAACAATCCGAAATGTATGTAAGCAGGGTTCGAACTATCCCTAGACAGAAAATTATTATTTTTATTGTTCAACAATAGTTCCTGTGAAGTGGATGTGTCGCCTGCGCAGGAAGCTGGGAGATTACGAAGAAATAAATACACTTTTCATTTCAAGAAATAATGTTAAAAGTAAGCAATAATCATAGATTATGTTTTTGGATGGCATCATTTTGTTATATAATCTGCCCAAGGAAACTCAAGTTATCGCACGAAAACAAATTTTCTATTTATAGTAACAGTGGTCTAGACCTTTGACCTTCGGCCTGAAAAACAATCCCAAGCAAGCACTTTTGGTAAGGAAGCACTGCATGAAGTTTGAGTTTGAACGGCCAAGGAAACTCAAGTTATCGCACGAAAACAGAGTTTCTATTTATAGTAAGTGACCTTGACCTTTGACCTTCGGACATGAAAAGGCATTCCCAAGCAAGCACTTTTGGAAAGGAAGCACTGCATGAAGTTTGAGTTTAGTCGGCCCAAGGAAACTCAAGTTATCGCACAAAAACTTCTGTGCGGACGATGCCGCCGACACCGACATAGCAATACCTATGTGTCGCCAGCTTTTCGCAGGCGACACAAAAAGTGTATTTGATCTATCTGCCTATTTAAACTGACCTGAGGTTTACCTTTTGTGAATCTTTCAGTCAAGCATCAAATGTTATTTCAGCTCTTCCATGCATTGAAATTATTTTAACAGTCAAGGTTGATAGTTTCATCGAGTAAACAATTGATATGTTTATGTATGTATTTATTTAGTTAAAATCATAACAACTGAAAATTGCAGGAAAACAAAATGCAAAACAGACATGCTATGTTTAGTCAACTCCTTTCCCCTTTTTATGTTTTTTGGACTTTTTATGTTTTTTGTTATTAAAAGTGAATGGTTCCTCTTGGCTGGAAAATAACAAAGGTGAGTTCTGCTGACCATCATCAGTCCCCTTTTGTGCTGGTAACTCAACTTGATCTGTCAACCTATTTCCTGGTAAAATGTTTCCTTTCGAGGACTCTTCGCCATCCTCACACAGTTTATCGGGATCCTGTCCCCACTTTCTAGACTTTTTTTTGTCTTTCTTTTTCTTTTTACATGTACTACTATCTATAGGGGAGTGATCCAAGAAATGCACTCCAGAAATGTCTAGTGAAAAGTTTTGTTTTTCTGTTGCCATGATCTCCTCATTGAACAGTAAACTTGTGTCTGGACTCTTTGCCAGGTGATCGTTCTCACCAATCCCATTCTGGATAGTTGGATCAGGTCTTTCCTTCTTGGCTTTTTTCTTTTTATGTTTCCTGCGAGATGAATGATCGTCCTGGGTGTCTGGTGTTTCACCAGTCTCTGTAGGATTGACATCCATACCCTCCTCTACCTGATTCTCTCCTTCGTCAGGATTCTTTCTCCTTTTCTTTTTCTTAGATTTTGACTTAGCTTTGACACTATCTGTAATGTTCTCCTCTTCCTTGCCATGACTACCAACTGTTGCCATGTCCACAACATCTCCTGCTTCTGTGATTTGGTCGATGTCATCCCTGGTACGTTTCTTGCCAGATGTTTCCAAGATTCTACAAATAGATATTATTTTTTAAGGTAAAGTTGAAGAAGGATACAAACAAGAGAAATGTCTGGATATTTAAGTAATCATGACAAAATGTCTTTTCATTAAAAGTAGTATAGTAGAAATTTCCTCATTTTAGGCTGTCTTCCTTGACCCAAGAAGGAAGCTGCATAGCAAATCTGGTTGAGATATGTTAATCATGTATATTGATCCTGGGGCTATTCCTGCTAGCATTCGTGTGTTCTTTTCTTCATGCCAAGCAAGCATTATACAAGAGGCCCAGAGGGTACAGGTATCCAAGCCCTAATCTGTAAGAATTGGTTTGGATACCTCAGATACATTACCCAGTAACTTAAACATCTTGCCACTCAAGATTAGGACACACTTATATTAAGAAATTCCGTAAAACAGACCTACTTCACAAACAAAAATCCAGATTTTTTAAAAATTGTACAAAAAAATGTTTGTTATAGTATCATGGGATCAAATATGTAAGGATTATGATAAAATTGTAAGGGTTTGCATGTTTGTATCTTTGCTCTTATCTGTTAAAATTTGTGTGGATATTTGTGCTATAATCTGTAAATATTGGTGTGAATGTCAATTTTTGTAATTGTGAAGATTAGGAGTTATTAAAAATACTATATGTACAATACTTCTACAACTTAGTTAACTTCACAAAAGGGAGATCAATCCAAACTTGCAATTTTTCATATTGGAAGGTTGTGACGTTTTCGACCCGATCTTTTAGATGGAAACAAGATTTTTTCTACAAATGTTTTTTTGGTGAATATCATCATGGGCTCCATTTTTACACCCCAAGTATAATAAATAAATGTATCATTTATTGGAAATATATCATTACATTTCAAAATGTACCAAGTTCACCAAAGGAATGGGTCCACGGCACCAGTGTTAACTGTATTGAAATGTTTCATATTAAAATGTACCTACCCTTCATCTGTAAATTTGCCTTTTATGGAGAGGAACTTGTTGTGCGAGTGAACATGTATTACTTGGAAGACAAACTCATCCCCTATGACCAAGTCATCGCCCTGCCATCTTTTCCCTGCTTGAGCAGGTCGTGCCAACGATGCATTGAAACAGTTGTGAACAAGACAGCCAATGTGATTCTTGCTAACTTTGTTCACCACACCTCTTAGAAGACAGCCAATGACAGGCTTGAATACAACAAAGTCTGCCTGAATGTTAAAATGGATGTAGGGTTGATCGTCTAATATTCGCCCCAGCCTTTGTAGAAGATGAATGCTGCTATATGCGATTAGGATACCATCCAAGCTGTAACAGAAAAAGAGGAATGGTTACAGACAAGTAGAGTGAATCAATCCATAGCTGTTTAATCATCCCTAATTAACTCCTAACACATTAATGTTAATATGTCTTTTACACATTCTGTATAATTTCTGTACATTTTAGATGCAGTCTAATGAAACCATGTTAATGGTGTGTTAATATGCATGGCTCACATTAATAATCAAATTCAGCCCGAGACATGTCAGTATATATGTGCATAATGAATTTTGTTAAAATTGACCCATTAGTACAGCAGTTATTGCATGGAAACCAAACCAATCACAAGTTTGTAATCTCATTAAATATGCATAACAAGAGCCAGAGGGCCTGTATCGCTCACCTGTTTCTTTTGTTACATGAAACTGACATATACTTCAAAACAAATTTGGTAACTAGAACACAAGACATTTTAACATCTTTTAAACAGTTTTTAAGATATTGTTGTTTGAAATTTGAAAATTTAATTTGATAGATATAACCCGTATTGACCTTTGACTCCGGCTAGCACGACTCGAGACCAAATGGTTCTTAAGATATTGTTGTTTGAAGTTTTTAACATATTTGACCCCTGTGACCTTGAAATTAGGTTGATGTGATTTTAATGAGGAAACTTTATAGCACTTCATCCCAGGTATCTGCTGGCCAAATATCATGACCCTAGGTCATCTAGTTCTTCTTCAGAAGTTGTTCAAAAGAAAAAGTTGACAAACGGATGACAGACGGACGATTGAAGCCGCAATACAGCATTAGCTTCCTTCGGGCCAGGGAGCTAAGAATGCAACATCCAAACAGGTAGTCATGCCTGGGAACTCAAGGTGGATGCTCTTACCAACTAAGCTATAGTGTACCTGGTTGCCAGCAAGCGACCCAGTCATGTTCTGCTACATTACTACTGTAATAGGGTTGGATCATTACTTTTAGGTTTAAGGAAAACCTTTGATAAATATCTATATCAGTTAAGAACAGTACACATTTTTCTGAGGAACAATAATCAGTAAAATATTCCTCTGTGCTGATAATGACACCTCTTTACATACTAGGGGATATAACTCAAATAACATACAGAGAAATACCAGCACATCAAAATTTTATTAAGACGAGATAGTCAGTTATTTTGGACCAGTTCAATTAATAAGCTGGAGGTCATTGGTTCAATCTGTGGTGGACTCGCACTCTTTTTGTTCCTGCTGCCTAGGTTTTCATTAACCCCCGTATTGGGATATTAAACCTCAAAAAAGGGATTTTGACCCTCAAAACTAAAAACAAGAGATCCCAGAGGGATCTTGGCGCCCACCTTTGTACCATCTTCATTAGTTCTTTGTCAGTTCGATCTTTTCTCTTCTTTCCTCTAATCTGTTTGATCGAGTCATGTTAACAGTAAATGCACCTTGAGGTAACTTTTGATCTAAACTTAATACTGATGTGTATGAAAGCCAACCTTCAAAGTGAGTTTGTCATTTCACATATTTACTAGTACAGTACTTAATGTGAAAGAAATAGAATCGATCATTGCAATATGAGAAAGATCTGTTTAGTTCTTCTTTTAATCCATTTTGTTTTTATGATCAGTCTCAAAATATAACATACACAACGAGGGATCAAGGGGAACCTACATTTAAAATTTGAGAAAGA